AAAGCAGAAGAGGACAGATAATAGGCAATAGGATTAAATTTGTGTTTCGGAAAGATAATTCTGACAAATATGGTGGGTGGAGTGATTGATGAGGACAGGGGTGGGAGAGAGGAAAGAAGGTATATTGCCTACATCGCAATGATCCCAGTAATAAAGGAGAAAGATCTCAAAAATAAATAGGCAACGTTGGCATGGCACAGAGAAAAAGAAATCTATTTAAGAAATGTTCTAGAAACAGTACATCTTGCTCTTAAAAAAAAAATATATATATATATATATACACTTTATATTTCTGAGTGGAGAGGGATAGAGAGACAGAAAACTCAATGATGAGAATTACTGATGGGATGCGTTCTGCACACCCCCTACTGGGGACTGAACGCACAACCCAGGCATGTGCCCTGACAGGGAATCGAACCGTTAACTCCTGGTTCTTAGGTCAACACTCAACAACTGAACCACAATGGCCGGGCCTACATGTCCTACTCTTTATTCCAGTCTCACTGAGCATGTAAGTCACTGCCTGGGAGTGCAGAGGTGGAGATAGGCCAGAAGTGCTGCTCTAAATGAGCTCCCCCATGAGGAAGGAAACATCAGGAGCAGGAAATAAAGGATCCGGACCAACACTAACCTCAGCCATCTTGCAGTTCCCTCCATCCTTTGGAGTCAGTGCTAAACTCTGGGCGGCTTAGCTAGTGCCAAGGCGCTCTGGGTGTGGACGGTCTCATGTCCCTGTCCACACCGGGTTTCACTGTGAGGCCATGTGGGTGAATGGAAATCTCGACTCAGGACCAGTGGGTCTTCCTGCTACTCCTGTAACCCTTCGGGAGCATGGGAATCACCTGACTTCCTGATTTGGACCCTGGGCTGGAGGAAGCTTCCTGAGGTTGTCCAAGGGCCCATCTCCTTAGACACCCACACCTTGCCGTCATTTCCAGCTCAGCCTACAGTGAGGACTGGTCTCCTCTGCTCCCAGAACTAACATCATTGGGGTTCGGCTGCTCCCAAGAAGGTGGCCTTAGGAGGTGGGGCCTACGCCCTCCTTTTCTGAGTCCCATCAACATTTTGGTCTTTCTTCCCCCATACCAGGGGCTTTACTTCCTAGACAGGTGGAAGGAAAGCCTTGCTCTTCTTCATTTGTGTGCTCTCCAATCTTGGACCCAATCATAAATCCTTCCCAGTACCCCAAGGAGCCACCCCTTCAAAACTCAAAGAGCACGTGCCCCTCTGCTTCCTGAGGCCACACCTCTCTCTCTCGAGGCCATGGACTCGAAGTGGCTGGGAAGGTCAAGCTTTGGTTAAGTTGAATGTTCTTTCCCTAACATGCAAATCACAAAGTGGCTAGGATCACAAAGTCTGTTTAGCATCGTACCTCTGATACTTAGCAAAGAGCCAGGCATCCTGCAGCAGGTTAGTAAGTGTTTAAGTGAAGAATGCAAAGGCAGGAGAGTGGAGCTGGGAACTACTAGTACATCTTATGCACAGCACATTCCACATTCAATTTGATGAGCATGCACTGACACCTACCATGTGACAGGCACCGCCCTAGGTCCTGAGGATACAATGGTGAACAAGACAGATGAATACCTACCTTTATGGAGCTTATTCCCATTACTGCTCCTGTTATTAAAAAGACAATAAACAATAACAAAAAATCTGGTGATGGGGGAATGGAATAGAGGATCGGAGCTATTAATCTGATTGCACTTTCTCTCAGACCCCCCCCCCCCCCCCCCCGCCCAAATCAAGAGTCAAACTCAAACAACAGAAGTTAACAAAAGCAGTATTATTGAAATGTAAAAATCACGGAAGAAAGCAATTACAGAACAGCATTTGGTATAGACATAGGAGAGTGAAGCTGGGAACTAAGTCTTATGCAGGCAATGAGATTGCATGTAGAGAGTCGTGACAAAAACATCTTGGGTGTTTTATTGCCAAAGTTAAGCTCTACAGGCCTCTCCTGAGCAAAGTTCATCTTTTCAAAAGTCTCCTGCCATAGAGCACGAAAGTTGTGTTCATGTTAGTTCAGTGCTTTCTGCTCTATACTGTGTAGAATGCAACACTGCATTTCACGAGCAGGAAAAACACAAGCATCCCCTTTGGCCCTAGATAAAGAACAATATTTTCTCATTTCACAGGCAGGGTATGAAAGCGTCATTCGAGCCCGTATTTTTACAGCTGCTTTGCATTCCCTATTGGAGAGGCCCTAAAAACATATGTTTCTTTCTTTCATTTCTACTTAGAGGTGTTATTATTTTGGAATTATTCAAATTTAAGAGAGTGATAAAGGGTGTCTCTTCAGGGGTTCTTACTAAACAAACCCCCAAATTCTTATTCCTTTAAGGAAAAATAAAAAGTTTTGGAGAAAAAAGAAAACAAAGGGAAAAAAAAGTTTTAGATTATGAATTTCGTATGGTAACTTCAAGTACTTATATCTTGTCTGGTGTTTAGCAGGTGCCCCGGAAATGGTGGCCGAGTTGAATTGGCTTGGGAAGAGGCAGGGGATTATGATCCTCCTTATACAGATGGGGAAACTGAGGCCCAAAGCACTGGTAGGTGTGTTTGTAACTGTGCTTCACACTTTACCAAGGGCTCTCACCCAAGCGAGCTTGTTAGAAGTCGGTCCTCATGACTATTATATTTCTGATGGAGGGAAGTGACGTAAGTATTTTCGGGTAATGATAAGCTCGACATCCAGTGAGTTAGTCACTGCTGACTCCCCTCTACAGAGCGAGTCAGTGTCTGCTGCTAAAGGGCATCAAAACCTGCTGTGGACAAAGTTCAGATCCTCAGACAACGATGGAAAGAAAGCTATTCTCCTAAGCATAAGAACAACAGAAAGCTATTGGCAATCTTATCACCAGAAAAAGCTCAGTCATGTAGAGAGAAGCCGCCCTCATACACTGTGGTAGTGTGAATTTATCCTACTTTTATGAGGAAAATGTATGAATAGCTACCAAAATCAAAATGAACAACCCATCTTGACATAACAATTTACTTTATCAATGCATTCCCACTGTAGACATATTGGCGCAAGAGAACATAGATACGTGAGGAAAAGGATATAATAAATATAAGAATATGAACATAAGACTGTTCCCTGTGACACTCATGGTCAGTAACAGAAAACTTAAGACAGCCTAAGGGTCCATCAATAGCTTGCCGGCTATACACTACACAAGGGCTATCTGGAAAGTGATACTTTATGTAGATGTTTGAAATATTACATCAATCTATGTATTGAGATGAAAAAAAAAAACACACGCTCAAAATGGACCACAATGTAGTCAGTCAGAGAAAAGCTGCCTAATACAGTTTTTATTTCCTTTGAGTAAAAATACTCATCAAATATTAGTGACAGCTACAGGCTACACCTCTGGAAAGTGAGATGGGCTTTTTTTTTTTTTTTTTTTTTTAAACTTTATTCAATGCCATACTACTTGATTTTTCATGGAAACAGATTATCTTTAAAATTAAAAAATGTAAGAGAAGCTGTCCAGTTCTGGCCACCTGAGCAGCTTTTTGCTTCTTACCCACCAGCAAGCAGCGCCCAGGAAGTGGGAAGCAGAGGCTGGAGCGAGGAACAGCAGCTTCTCTGCTACCAGGCGTGCGCTGGGGACAAGTATTCTGACCAGTGAATGATTCTCACTCCCTTCTTTCTCAGTGTAGCACCTAAAATACAACCCTGGGTAAGAATAGATGCCTCCTTCTTATTCAGTCGGTACCTAATGCCCAGGACATTGAAAATGACTCCCTCTCCTCATTTTCTGGCCCTGGGATTAATCATTCCACCAAGAGACGATCTTTAGCAGTGCTCCACCTCAATGGCTCATTCCCGCCAGATGTGATCCACCATGCTGACAGAAAGATAAAACAAGAGGTAAAGCCTAATTAGCTGGTGGGCGACACAAGCAATAATGAGGTCAGTCTTGAACTCGGAGCGGAAGAGTTCAAGGATGTCTCTCCTGACAGCAGAGGAGATTCTGGATGCCCTTCTTCTCATCAACGCCCCTCACATGTGCCTGGGGGCAAGGGCACCCTAAGCCGGGCAGATCCTGTGCAGGAGCCAGGCCCTTTACTTTGAAAAAATGTGAGCTGCTGCAAGAAGCCTGACGAAGCATCACAAAACAATGCTCCTACCAGGTGGGGCCCGGGGGTGCAGAAGGGGGAGGCGGAGGGTGATGTGGGGCCACGTGCAGCTGAAGAGGTGCCTCCTGAATCCCTGCGGCCACTGAGAGCACAGCGTGGAGCTCAGCTGTGTCAACAGACCCCGGGGCCCTGCGTGCGGGGACAGCGGGGTGCAGGGCAAAGGGCCGGGCAGAGGATCAGAAGACTTAGGTGTGCGCCTCTGTTCCAGGACAAGGTGCCTGGTTTCTCTGAACCACCATTTCCATAACCGAAAAAACAAGGACAGAAATCACCCACTGGCTCTGCCTCCTAGGTATGCTGATGGTTTAAAGAAAACAGGGCCAGAAAGAGCATTAGGTAAATGAGAAAGCCCCATAAAAATGCAGGCGGCATTTGTGAGATAGTTTTTGGTGATAAAAAAAAAAAATAAAAAAAAAAAAAAGCCCCAAAGCTTGCTTAAATCACTTTCCTAAGATACAAATCTGAAAGGTTAGTGAATGAACAAATAGATAAAGTCTTTCGCTATGTGAACATAATTGTCCAACGTAAGTCCTAATTATCGTACTCGCTGTATTAGACACTCCATAGAGAACTACATATAAAAATTACGAAGATCTAATTCTATATAAAAAAAGTATATAAAATATAAATGTGCAATTATAGATGACTTCAAAATACAGGACTATTCTTACAGGACTACTGTAGTGGCAACTGACCTTGCGAATGTACACAGTTATAGCAAGAAGCTTTACCAAAGTAGCCTAAGTCCAGTCTCCGTTTCACAACTTGAACACGTAGTGTGTTCGTTCCTATGTCAGACATTGTGCCTGAGAGCCGTCCGCGTGGACGGAGACGCACGAGGACCACGGCGCTCAGCTTCCTGCAGAAAACCCTCCGCTCTTCTGGTCCGGGAGCTCCTGGGGGCCGTCCTCCTCGTTCTCCTCGGAGCAGGGCAGGCTCAGCGCGCTCACCACGGGGTGGATCCAGGACGTGGTCTGTGTTACGTGACTTGAGGGGAACAAGGAACGCAGTTACAATCAGGAAGCGCGTCCCACCCGTCCATGCAAGCACTCGGCCCAGGGGCACCCGCTTCCACCGACTGCAGTCCCGGGAGGGGAAGCAGGTGGAACCGGAGCCAACCTTTTCAATGTCTTACACGTGCTTTAAGGTTCCACAAAAACCATGTCTGTTTTCTCCCGTGGTAACAAGAATGGCAGGAGAGTGATTCGTCGTGGATTCCTCGCCTCTCCTTACCCGACCGTCTCCAGCTGCAAGCTCTCTGGACCCTCTTCCTTCCTCTCCTTTCCTGATGCTACTGCCTGGGTCACTGAATGGCTTGTCTCTCTGCCTCTGTTCTCGTCGTTTCTAAGTCACGGCTCCACTCCAGCCAAGAGGTCTTTCTAACGACAAATCCCTCATCGTTGCTCATTTGCTAAAAATTCATTGTCAGCCAGTGCCTTCTGGCCCGGATACGTACTCCATCCTATGAAACGCTTTGCTTTTCACCCGCTTCACCAGGGCTTCCTTCTCTGCGACAGTCTTCCTCTCCCACTGGGTTCATCTAGGCGACTGAGTCTAAAGAGCCACCTCTCCCTCTGGCGTCTTCCCATCCTCGCCCATCCCTACCTGTCATCATGCCGTAGGATTGCGTTTATTTTTAGGCCTTCTTACTGCACACAAAGCTCCTGGAGAGGGGAATGGATTCTTTTCTCCAAGTTTACGGGACTAACTGTTCTCAGAACAGATGACTAGTTGTTTCCGGAAGGTGACAAGCAGAGGGAGGGAAGGATGTACACAGGACGCAGGCCATGTTGGGGTGGTGGTGAAACATCATACAGAGCGCACCCCTACCTGATGGTGGTGTTTCTCAGCACTAGTAACCCACACACCTGCAGCTGGAGGGGTGTCCTGAATCCACCACCGCTGGCCCAGTGCCTGAGAGCGGGACAGAACTTCTGGAATTACAGCCATCTGTTTCTTTCTGTGGATATTCTTTCTGGCCCTGGTTCCCACCACTGCCTTCATCCATCCCACTTCAGTTTCCTCTGCCCCAATCCTATCCAAACTCAACCTCAGAAGCAGCAGTGGGTCTTAGGACGAGTCCTCCTGGGCTGGCATTTTGAGGATCAAATAGGGTTGTGGTTCTGGATAGATGTCTTATCTTACAGGGGAACATTTCCCAAAGTGTGTTCCAAGGATCTTTACATGAGGAAGAGCATTTTATGGTGAATTAAGTTTGAGATCTGATGTAGTTAGGTCGGTTTCTTTATTCCAGGATTCCCTAGAACTTTTAATATACACCTGAGTTCTCAGACTCTCCAAGAGTATGCGATCTTTCTCACACCAGCGTGCCCTCATGAGCACACACAGGGCTAGTGTTCTACAGAACACGATGAGGGAGTCGCCACAAAACGCACTTGCTCTCCTGGCTGTGGATGATGTAACTGCGAATGTTGGACTGAGTATAAATGGTCACTGTCCCTGCCATTACTACATTTGGGTCGTTGTTAACCTTATATTCTAAATTCTATCCATATCCCCCTGTAAAATTTGTTCACCTTGTCTGTTCACACATTAAAAGTGCATCTTTCCATGGAGGAAGATCACCGATGGGTTCACGGGTGGGTAAGAATTTAGGCTGTTTAAGAATCAAGGTGGCCGGAACCGGTTTGACTCAGTGGATAGAGCGTCGGCCTGTGGACTGAAAGGTCCCGTGTTCGATTCCAGGCAAGGGCATGTACCTTGGTTGAGGGCACATCCCCGGTGGGGGGTTTGCAAGAGGCAGCTGATTGATGATTCTCTCTCATCGATGTTTCTAACTCTCTATCTCTCTCTTCTTCTCTGTGAAAAATCAATAAAATATATTAAAACAAAACAAAAAAAAAAAAGAATCAAGGTGAAGGCGGTAAGGCCCAGAGGTCATCAGTTTCTCAGCCGCAGAGTGTGGGTAAGTGGTACAGGGACGCGTTCCTCTCTGCACAGCGATCCGCATGACTGTTACCTCAAATGGTTGAATGGAACGTCTAATTCAGAGGCTGAATTACTATCGCAGCTGATTCTGCACAGGTTAACTCCACTGCAAGGACTTTATAAAACTGCAAAGCTCTCTAAACTGGAAGTGGTTTTAAGTAAATAACATAAGGGGGCATGAATGCCACTGCAAGGGGAAATGAGGATGTGTCATCCTGGGCGAAGTCCATGTTTAGGGCTAAAGGAAACACCCTGATGAGACAGTTTTGCACATTCTAAAATCTTGATTGATATATATATATATATAGTAATATTTATCAGCCCATTTACCAGTAATATTTATCAGCCCATTTACCAGTATGTTAGTCCAAAGAAAAGACTTTAAGTGACTATAAATTCTCCCTCCCCTACCATGTTCCCTAACTGAGGAGGGTGGGAAGAAAGACTGCCAGAAAAGGAAGCCCTGTGAAGCAGGTAAAATGGGAGCAATTACCTAAGAGGTAACTCCAGGTGCATGCTTTCCTATTTGACTTAAACAATTATGTTTTCATGCTTAAAATATAAGTGTCCACATACAAACACTGTGGACCATCTATAATAATAAAAGGGTAATATGTTAATTAGACCGGACATCATTTCAGACGTCCTTCCTGACAAAGCGGGGCCGGAGGGAAGCCCCAGGGAAGGCAGCCCGGGTCCCAGGTGCCTGCAGGCGGCACGAGGGAAGCCAGCCTGACTCCCGGGTGCCTGTGGGTGGCCGGGAGGATGCAGCCCGGATCCCCTCATCTGGGGATGTGCCCTGAGTGGGAATCAAACTGTGACTTCCTAGTCTATAGGGTGACATTCAACCAATGAAGCACTGGCTGGGACTGTCTGGACATTTGAAAAACACACACCTAAATACCAAATATGCAATTAGAACAGCTACTACTAGAAAATAAAATAAAACTTCACTCTATGTGTCAAGCACGCTTTTCATCCGGGTCTTCTGCAAAAACCTCCAGAGCACCAATGCTTCTAAATGAGGTGGGCAGGGGCAGTGCCTGGCAGTGAGTACACACTCAATTAACGACCGTGGCCAGCTTGGTGGATAACGAGGGCTTTCTGATGACTGTGAGAAAAGCTTGGAATTCTTCCTATGATGATGGAACGGGGCATCTGTGTGTTTACTGTTCAGTTTTTTATGTCCTAGCGAGCGCTGTATGATGAGCTCATCCCAGATCGACTGGCTTGGAGAGTTTTCGAAATGTTTGCTCCCCGGTTTATGTGCTTGGTAATTCGACTGAGAAGAGAGAAGATAAATCAGCCCTGTTGATGCTGTTTAATTAATAAAGACCCCATGGTTCATAGAGTGAGATGCTGCTACTTAGTATGAAAAATGCAGAGGCCTGGAAAATAGATGAGACTGACTGTGAAATGAACATCTCCCCTTGGAACATGCGGTACCTCTGGCCAATGTGCCTGCGGAGTGTGCATCTGACCTGATTTGGGGCGCCATCAGCAGCCGTTCAGATATATTTGAAAATATAAAAATGATCACATTATCTACCTCTGAATCATCGCCAAATCTGTTGTTGGAAAACATTAATATTTGATTTGGGGAGATGACTGTGTTGAGTTTTTCCTTCTATAATCATAGTAAATTGTAAGACATAATTTAGAGCTTATTAAAAAAACTTAACAGAACATGCTTTATTTTATTGACAGAGAAATGTAAGTGAATTATTTAAATTTCATTATAATGACACTCCTTGTATTTCTTACCTCCTAGCATGCAAAATGCTTTCTTTAAAAAATTTAGGGCAGCATATTGAGAGAAAGTGGTTTAAAGATAAAAAGTCTACCCATTTTGTAGAAATTCATTCTTATAACTGTCTGAGATGAAAGAGACCCTTTTGTTAATCTTCCATTGTAGATGGCACTATTTATATAACATCGTGAAGTTCACACGATTTTAAGTATTATTTAATCATGTTTAAGATAAAGCTGCAGAATAATGAGCCAAATAAATTAACTTCCAATGCTCTTTTATTGGGGGGGGGGGGGGCAGGCGCTATCTTTTTTTTTTTTTTTTTTTTTAAATCCTCACCTGAGGATATGTTCTATTCATTTTTAGAAAGAAAGGAAGGAACAGAAGAAGGAAGAAGGGAGAAATAAAGGGAGAGAGAGGAAGGGAGACATTGATGTTAGGAAGAAACATTCATTGGTTGCCTCCATATGCACCTCGGCCAGGGACTGAACCTGCTACCCAGGTATGTGCCCTGACTAGGAATCAAACCTGCAACCTTTTGGTGTATGGAACAATGTTCCTACCAACTGAGGCACCCAGCCAGGGCAAGGGGGCGAGCTAACTCAAGTATATAACATTCATATGAACTAGAAAATGAGAACAAATAAGTGAATATATGTTAATTCAATCTGTTTTTGCCACCAGTAACTTCAAAACACTAGAAAATTTTACTACTGGCCATAAACTGCAAGTACTAATGACAATAAAAGATTCATACTTAAAAAAATAATTCCAATTTAAAACAAATTAGCTGGTAAGAACAAAAAGCAAATCATGGCCATAAAATTATTAAAAAGTCAGCATGTAATCTTATCAGATACTGATTATGAGAATGGCTATAGATTTATTAGTAATACGAAATATCCATTCCAAACATGTGTAAGAGAAAATTACAGGCGATTTGTTCCCACTGATAAAGACTTCCCTCTTGCATAATTTTGAAAATATACTGCCAAAATCAAAGTGGGATATTTCTCAGAACAGGCTGAGCATTCTGGACTTAGGAATTTGAAGATCCAGTGAGGCTCACATCAAGTATTAGCAGGACCCCATCCAAATCTTCAAAGTTTTGAAAACAAATTTTATTTTTATTATACATTTATGGCACTTTCTATAAAAAAACACATAAGCTATCTTTTGAAAATTCAAAACTCCAATTACAGTCACGCGCTGCCTAACGGGGACTGTGTTCGGAGAAACGCGTCGCTAGAAGTTTTGTCCCTGCACAAACATCACCGAGTACCCGCGC